TTTTTTCCACCCCCCCCCCCCCTCCCCCCCCCCCACTTCGTATATCTCAGTCTCTTCATCCTTTGCTCAGGTCCCTTTCAAAGACTCCCCCTCCCTCAGGATTAGATTCCAAAAAGAACATTCCATGCCCTTCATAAAGTGGTATCAGCCCCAACTTTGCAGCCTCAGCTCCACTATTGGCCATTCTAGGCAACAAGACTTCATGGTTCACCCTCCTGCTTCGTGCTTTCCTGTCCCTGCTCCTGTACTGAGCCCATCTCGTTAATCAGCAATCGCCCACTGCAACCCCCACCTCCTCCAATCCCACCCATCTCTGAGGGCCTGGGTCAAATGCCACCTGCTTCAGCAAGCCTCCACCCATCAAATGTAACCTCTGTCTCCCCTGCAAACTCCTCGGCACTTATATGGCCAGGTGTTACTGCAACGAGTGTAATTCCCCATGACCCCAGACTCAGGGGCTAGAATGAGGTTGCACCCATTCTTGCTGCATCCACAGTGTCCAGCACTGTGCCTTTTTCACTAGATAGCTGCTGCTTAGACAAACAAGAGAAGCAATGAAAGAATGAAGAAAAAGGTGTTGAACCACAGAAATGCAAGCTTTTAGGGCCTGTGGGGGGCCTCAGAGGACTCCTAACCCAGCTGAGGAAGGTGTAAGGATGGGCTGGTAGTTGCTGTGAAGAACCATGCCAGGTCCTCCAACAAGGAGCTAAGGGATCACAGGGGCCAGCGTGGTCAACAGTCTCAGGGCTGAGGCCTACACCTGCCCAATTCAGGGTGTAGAGATATCAGCCTGGGCTTCATCCACAGCATGGGCCATGCCCAAGAGTAGAAAGAACCAGGGTCCCTTCCACCTGGTCAGGATCCCCTCAGTACAGAACAGCCAGGCCTTCAACATCCCTCCCTGACACACAAGCTCAACCGCCATCTGCTGGCCAAGGTCAGCACTGCATTCAAACCCACAGCCCCAAGGACATTCAGGGGAGCAAGGTCGAGACCATCCCCAACCCATTGCAGACCCAGGTCACTTTGGGGTCAGCAGAAATGACCCCACTCCCTAGAATTTGGCCTCTTGATTGTCTCCCAGAACGTGTCCTTTGGGACATAATCCTAACATTAAAAGAAAAGGAAAAAAGTAAGTTTCTTTCTGGTAATACTAGCAGAGAAATTTCTAAGACACACACACCAAAAGCTGCTTTTTTCCCCTGCCAAACAGAAGCTCTGCTATGTAGGGGACAAATCACTGGCCTGGGAATCAGAAGGCCTAGGTCTAGTCCTGTTGCTTGTCACTGCCCCCCTCAGCTGTGTGGCCCCAGGCACACTCCCTGCTAAGCCAACCCTACACGAGGACAATGCCCCTTTGCTCACCCTTGCCTCTGCACTGATGGTGCCAGCAGATGTCCAGGGATTCTGACTGATCCTGAACTGAATGTAAATCACAGGGTCCAGAAGTGCTACAACCTCCATCTCACCCCCATTCCCATGCTGGGACATCTGCCTGGGACAGGGACTGGTCTGAGGACACGAGTGACCATCTCAGACCTCTGTCAGTGTGAAGTGTCCTCAAGAGGCCAGAATGCCTCTAGAGCCCCTTCTTGCCATCCCACTTCCTCTGCAATCTTTGAGCTGGGTAACCTCAGAGCCTACCCAAGGACTGGGGCCTAGGGAGGTGGTGACACATGACAGACCCCACTTTCTTTAACCACAGTCCTGAAACCAGGGATGAGACGGAGCTTTCTGTAGAAGGCCCTAGGGCTGGTGTAGAGACCAGGGTGAGGGAGCCACATCGTCCTGGGGGTGAGAGCTGCTCCCCGGGAAGCATCATGGGAGGGGCTGGAAGAGGAGGAGAGTGCAAAGTGAGTGACTTTTCTCCGCCCCACGCCCCCAAGCCCACCTACCCTGCTTCCCACACAGCCCCTTTCCCCTCCCTCCACCTACAGGCTGAGAAAGTGTGTCATCAGGGACAAATGCTGTCTTCCCAGGAGGGAGGAAGAAGGGGGGAGGGAAGACTTTGTGTGCCTGTGGGGGCCGCAATAAGAAACCAGAGGTTTCTGAGCCTCCCAGCTGGGAGGGATGCCCCCTCAGAACCATGTCCTTGACATTAGCCTCCCTCTCTCAGGGGGCTCCAGACACACGGGATAGGAGCTGCCTGGCCACCATGCTCAGGATACTTGGCCGGGGGGATTAGAGAAGAGGCCCTGAAGATGCAGGCAATGTCTTCAAACCCCAAACATCCTTCAGCCAGCTGGGTGGGCCCCCCACAACTTCTGACACCCCAAACTTCCCATCTTGTTCCCCCCCGATCTTAGAGGAGCCCCTAACCTACTCCCCCCAATCTCCTGCTGCCTGCCCTACCCTCCCTCACATCCACCCCCTCTGGGCGGGTGTGTGGCACTTTGCACTGTTACTACAATGACTTATTTAGTTTTAATTTGGGGGTGACTCTCATGCTGTTGGAAGTCAGAGGCCAACAGTCTTGGTGAGAAGCAAAAACCTATGCCGGCCAGCACTGAGCTGATCCTGTCCCCTCTGCCTGGGGTCCTGCCATCCTGACCCTGCTCCTCCTTGCATGCAGCCTGCTCCCTGACCGCAGCCCCAAATTGGGTTTACCTTTCACTCAAAGTCTCTCCCTTTAGAGGAAATGTCCCTCGGTGGCAAGGGAGTCACCTCCTGTGTGATCCGGGTTCCCCCAACACCAAGCATCAGTTAATGAGGCCCCCTCCAGGCCAGGTTATTACTGAGGAGGGAGACATCTTTGGCTGGCGCTGGGCACCTGGCACCAGCTCCACATGAAGGGCTGATAGTCAGGGCCTGCTCCATGAAGATCAATAAAAATGGAACTAGTATCTGCCACCATTCTCGGCCCCCATGAGAAGCCTGAGGAAGCTGTCACTCGTTCACGTTTAATGCTCATTAAACAAACACTGGGCACCTACTGTATAACTCACTGTCCTGGTACTGTGGACACAGGGTAAAATGACTGTCATGGTCTTCATCCTCAAAGATGTTATGGCTTGCAGAGGAACAATTAAAGATGACTGACTTAGAATGGGCCACCTTGGGCAGCAGATAAGAGTAAGCTTTCTTTCACTGGAGGTAATCAGTGGAGGCTGAACAACTGCCTACCAGTGATGTTCTGGAAAAGCCAATGCACTGAACTATGTATTTGGACCACTGACTGATGGCGTCATAGAACACAGTGCTGGCTACACTCACCAACACTGCCCTACTACCACACCACCCTAAGCCTCCAGCCTTCATCTGCAAAGTGGGGTTGATAACAGCACCTACCTCACATGCTTGCCATGAGCATTAAATGAGATAATACAGGGAACACAGCACAGCTGTCAGCATGTGGTAAACCCTCAATAACTGATAGATATTACTAGGTTGAACCATATGAATCATATTAGGTTGCAGGTCAAAAACAATCAAATATGAACAATTTCATATGGTTCAACTAATATTTTTACTGAGGGCCACTGAGGTTTCTTCTGAGCTCTTTGATTTCAGCACTGGGAGTTGCTGTGACATTAGTTCTACGTCAATGGTAGATCCCCAGCACCCTGGGCCCAGGCAGCAAGAACTCTGCCAGGACCTCTTCAAGTGTACCGTCCCTGGTCCACCCTTCTGGCAGAGGCAGGTACCTCCTTGCCCAGGTCCTCACGGATGACCTGGCGGACCTCTTGCATGCTGCTCTGCGGGGCCTGGCTGTGCAGCACCTTCAGCGTGCTGGTATACTCCTCTGGCAGCAGGTAATCCAGAGCCCCCAGGTGCTGGCCCACCTTGATGAAGGTGCCCCGGTTGGCACAGCAGAGCTCACAGAGACGCCTGGCAGAGCGGAGGTGCACCTGCAGGGAGATAGGCCAGGGCCAGAGAGGTGTGAGTGCAGACTGTTCCCTGGACCTTGGTCCCTCTTCTTGCTCCCTCTGCTTGAATATCATTTACTCCCTAGTGTCCAGGGCAGGTGTACACATGCACACACACAAGCACATACACACAAAAATACACACACGCACCCCTCCCTCCACCCTCTCAATGTCCTCCTTCAGTCTCCTGGTACCCAGAGCAGTCAACTACATGCACACACACAAGCACATACACACAAAAACACACACACACACCCCTCCCTCCACCCTCTCAATGTCCTCCTTCAGTCTCCTGGTACCCAGAGCAGTCAACTCCAACCTCGCACTATGGTCAGCCTCTATGCATGGCCTGATGCTTCCCATCTCCTCCTCTCCATCAAAGCTTACCTGGTCTGGGTCCCACTTCCTCAGAAATAACCAACCAAGTCTAATCTACTGATGACTCATTCAAGGGTACACTGAGTTAACATTTGCACCCACCCCTCAGACATACTAATAATACTTTATGTTTGTCTGGATCTCTATAATTTATAAAACATGCTTATATGCATTATATCTTTTAATCCTTACAGCAGCTCAGGGAAGCAGGTGTCAGTATTTTTAAGAACGAGAAACTCAGTTGTTTTGCTTATAAAGAAATAGCTAACACATGTCAAAGGATGGTCCAAAATCTAGGGCTCCAAATCTAAGGCTCTTTTAACACAGCAAACTTCAGCAGCAGTCTCCTATTAACCAGAGGAATCCTTATACTGGGGGTATCGGGCACATGGAGTAGGTGGCTGAGCAGGTTATCTGGGATAAGGCAGCCTTAACTTACATGCTGATGCTCACCTGTCCTTCCAGAGCTAGAGGTGGCCCCAACTGCCCCCAAGCTGTGTATTCCTAGTCATCATCCCAAGCCCAGCTGATGATCTTGCTACTATGAGGGTCCTGTCTTCTAGGAGCTACAGCTTCTGAGGCAGGATGGCGCCATGGGCACACACAGAAGACAAGGGATCCCAATGCCCCGGGGGGACCTGGCACCTGCTTCCACCAACAAAGTTAACTGAGAGAGTTAACACTGACCACAGACAGTTTACTCTCTTGAGAGCTACAAAGAATGTGGATGTCATTAAGCACATATTGGGGGCAATAAAACCATACAAAGAGTTACATAACAGTTGGCAACAAAGATGGAAGAAATGTTCAAACATCCTACATAATTAGCTGCCAAGCAAACCGCAGAGTAAATCATTACTTTAGAAATTAAGAGCATTGCAGCCCTCAATGCCCTTGTCCTAGCAACTGGGGGCCCACCGGCCCACCTCGCACCACAGAGGAGCAATGCCCCAGACTCTGGGCCCTAGTAGGCTGTCTGTCCTTAGGCCCTAGGGGACTGTCCACTTCTGGCTTTGCTGGATATCTCGGCTTCCCACCCCATCCCATTCTCAGACTCCACCCCCCTGAGCAGAGTCCTCTAGCCTTGATGTGGACACCTGGCCCCAGCTGGGCCAATGAGAGTCTTTTCTCCCTGGCAGAAGGGGGCATCGAGAAGGAAATTAATTCTAATTGAGAGAGAGAGAGTGAGAGTGCCCCTAGATGAGCCAAAAGATTGAGGGTAGAAGGGGGAGATTCTCTTAAGAATTTGAAACTGGGCAATGGCAGAAGGTCACAAAGAGCTGGGTAGAGTCAGTGCCACAGCTGGCTGAGGCCACACTGAAGGACATGAGAAAGGAGACAAGCAGGGTCAAACACAGAGCTGGTCACCTCCCTGTGGTCAGTACAAGGCTTCAGGCCATTAGGGACAAACCACATTTTGCAGCTCAAATAATTAACCCCCAACCCAGCAGAGGAGAAAAGGCGCCATCAACAGCAGAATAAGGAGCAGCCAGAGAGGCATCCACAGTCCATCAGTCCTATGGCTCCTATGCCACCAGAGCCCAGATCCAGCAGACACTCTCCAGTGGGGGCTGCGCTGGCCTCTGCTGCCCACTCACCCAAAAGGCACATCAAACCCCATGTCAAAGCTGTGCCAGGATCCAGCTGGGCAGATGTCACAGTCAACACCAAGAGGAAGTGGAGGAAGAAGGGGTGAGGACATGCCCACGTTCTCCTCCCCTCCCAGTAAAGACATCAACCACCACATGCTCACTGGGGACCTACTGTGGACCCAGGCCCAGTCCCCTACCTCCTGGGGAGACCCAGCAGAGTCATTCACACAGCAGAGACAGCCCAGGGCAGCAGGTACACACTGGCTCTGGCCCACACCCTCCACCCACAGACTGCCCAGGGGCCCACCCTGGCTCAGGCCTTCCACCATGTCCCCTCGGTGGCAGTCTGTCCCAGGCAGCCCCGGGTGGGAGGTGTCAGCCTTGCAGGTGGGAGGACTTCTGCTGTGTCCGTGGTCCCATCCTTGTTCACTATCCCTCGACCCTAGGCGTAGCTGCTTTATGTGTTTTCTGCTTCTGTAGCCTTAGAATCTTCTTTTACTCCTGTCAGGAGTCAACCACCTTTTACTAGTTAATAATTCTGTATATTAAATTTTCCCTGTTCAAATAGCTGGAGTGACTGCACCCTGGCTGATACACAGGGGTAAGCCTTGAAACTGAATCTGAATGCATTAGGATGAAAAAGGAGGGCACTTCAGATCAAGAGAACAATGTAAGCAAAGATGTACGCGCCCACGTGTGCATGTGTTGCTGTGTGTGCTGTGTGTGTGTGCATGTGTTGCTGTGTGTGCTGTGTGTGTGTGCATGTGTTGCTGTGTGCGCATGTGTTGCTGTGTGTGTGTGCTGTGTGTGTGCATGTGTTGCTGTGTGTGCTGCTGTGTGCTGTGCATGTATCGCTCTGTGTGCATATGCTGCTGTGTGTGTGCACATATGTTGCTGTGTGTATGTGCTGCTGTGTGTGAACACACACATGTGTTGTGTGTGTGCTGCTGAAACACCTGCTCCACCACTTTGTATACGTTGGACTTACATCTGCGTTTGTCTCTGCTGCTGGCAGCCCTCAGAAAGCATCAGCCTCTCCCTGCCAATTCTTCACACCAGGGACCACAGCTGGGGCTCTACTGTCCCTGACCTGTGGCTTGAACCAGTCTCAGGTCAGGTGTCTGTTGACACAAAGTGATGGTCACCTTTGAGATATTGTCTGGGCAATGCAGGGAGTCCTCTCTGGTCACACAAGCCCAAGAAGGCCGGTCTACACCTGACTGACCAGTTACATGGCACATCAGCTCTTGAGACAGTGTCCCCTGTCCACTTACGTACCTCAGGGCAAGCCAGGCAGGCACCATAATGTAGATTGATAGCAACTATGCATCATTTGCTCACAAAACCATCGTCCATGAAACTGAGTCAGTATCAACTGCAAACAGCACCCACATTTCCACTAAAAAAGCCCAAAGTCACCTCCAACCAGCTTCTAACTCAACTCTCTCTCTGTCTCTCTCTCTTTCTGTCTCTCTCTCTCTCTCTCTCTCTCTCTCACTCACACACACACACACACACACACACACAGATGAGAAACATTGCCACTCATCGAAAAAATTAAAATGTTCTTCTAAAGCCAAAAGACATGAATGCTGAGTGTAGAGTAGGCCCTCTGACCTCCAGGGTCCCTTTCCAACCCCAGCTTGTATGGGCTCACTGTCCTTTGTGATCAGAAGCCAGGCCCCCCATTCAGACTTTCAAGAAACTGCTGGCTCAGTATAAACTCCCTCTCTCAACATGCACTTCCTTCACTCAGCACCATAAGGGGCTAAGCCTGTTGGCAGCAGGAAATATTTACAGGAATTTCACAATCCCCTCCTCCCAGGATCCTTTCCCCAGCCATGCAAGTGTACACAATGAAAAAAGCAAAGCCTCCAGAATCTCCTGAGCTCTGTATCCCCTTGACTCTCATCCTTCATGCCATGCATACCTTCCAGCACCTACGTAAGCATAAGCACCATGAGGGACATGCAGGTAAATGAGTCAGTTTGTAACAGTGCCGTCCAGTAGAACGTTCTGCAATGAGAAAAGTGCTCTGTACTGTTCAATATGGTGGCTGTTAGCTACAAGTGGCTACTACACAGTTGAAATGTGGCCAGTGTAACTAAGGAACCGAATTTTTAATTAAATAATTAAATTTCAAATAATTTAAACTCAAATTACCACATATGACTAGTTGCTACCACATTAGACAACTCAGGTTTATAAATTAGCAACAACTATAGTAAATGCATACAGATTTATTTAGTGCCCTCTTCTAAGTACTACTTTTGGCCTACAGTAATCACTCAAATATAGGTGGTGGTGGTGATGATTATTGTTTTTACATCTGCCCGATATCTCTGTACAAGATATCTTATATGTCCTTAAAGATAAAGAAATAATCTCAGAGTGGTTCACTGACATTCCCAAAGTCCCACAGCCAATATTGGTGAGACCACGGTGTGCTCAAACCTTGATCTGTCAGATACCAGCCCTGTATAATGTGCACCATGTGCCAGGGAACAAGCATTAAATGAATCTCTCTATGTACAAGGCATGGGGTGGGGGGGATAGCCATGGTCTTCATGTACAAGGAGTTTACAGTGTAGACTGAGAGGTGGACACACACCCATAAAACCAAAATTACCAATAGTAGACAGTAAAGGTAGCTGCCCAATCACTCCAACATGTGATATGTGCTCGAGTGGTCACCAGGCTAGGCACTGGGTGGCCATGGAAGTTGAATCAAGTGTACTCAGTTTAAAATCAAGTGTATTCAAGCTGGAGATGGCTTTAAACAAAACAAGGAGAAATCATAGAACATAATGGTTAATAGCACTGGCTTTGCAATCAGAAAGACGTGTTCAAATCTTGTCTTGTTACTCACTTGTCATATAACCTTGGACAAGTTAATTAACTCAGTTTCCTCATCAGTAAAAAAGGGATAATAATCATACTTGTGCCTGTGATGATTAAATGAAGTAATGCATAAAAAAAGACTCAGCACAGGGCCCAGCACATAGACAATGCTCAATAAACGAGTGGAAAGAGACAAAGAAGGAGAGAAAAAATCACTCTTCCTAGAAAAATGAAATTAAAAAAAAAAAAAAAAAAACCACTCCA